GGCGACCCTCAGCCTGGAAGGGGAAGCAAAAGCCCCAGAGAAGGAGGCCGCCAAGACCAAGGACGGCAAGTTCAAGATGCCCAAGTTCGGCATGCCTTCCTTTGGCTGGTCCAGCAGCAGAGAGGCCAAGGGCAGCGTGGCCGCCGAGGTGGACGTCAGCCTCAAGGAGCCCCAAGTGACGGTGCCCTCGGGAACCGCCGAGGTGGATGTTACCCTGTCTGGGGCCGAGATCCAGGTGTCTACTTCTGAAGTTCCTGTAGATTCCTTGTCTTTTACAGAGGATGAGATGGGTAAATCTCGAAGTTCTCTATTTAGAATGCCTAAAGTTTCTCTTTCTAAGATTTCCAAAGCTCATGGAGAAAGTAAATCCAGAGCTGATATTTCAATGTCAGAATCTCTTAGTTGTTCTGTAACAGAGGATACTCCTGCTGTTCTTTCGGGTAGTGTCACATCTAAGCCTTTGCCTGACTTAAAGGGAGATAATGTATCTAAAAATACTAAGTTCAGAATTCCTAGCTTGGGTTTCTCTAAGGTTGATTTGAGTTCATCTGGAATTGACCCTGAGTCCTCATTTCAAAAAAAGGATATTACACTTACTAAATACCAAATTAATCTAACAGAATCTGAATCAAAAATACCATCTCTTGCAGATGAAAATCTTTCAGATTTTGAAATTTTAAATGAAGATGGTTCTGTGGAGCAAGAAGGTCTTAAGTCAGAAGTTAAAACAAGAGCTGGTGAAATATCTTTGGGTGACACAGATGTTACAGTTAAAATTCCTAAGTTCCGAAAACCAAAATTTGGAATTCGATCTAAGGGTAAAGCATCAGAAAGTGACCTTGGTTTTAAAGTGGAATCTGAAATTTCCAGGGAAAAAATAACATCTGATATGACTGATCCTGATACTGGAAAACCAACTGAGATCTCTGATGTCAAGTTAGGTGTAAAGTTGCACAAACCTTCACTTGAAGTTGTTCTGGATGCACCAATACTGGATCCCAGTCTCTCACCAATGAAAGTTACCATGCCAAAATCGGAAGGAGAAATCCATAGCACAGATTTAGACTGCAAGGTAGACCAGGAAGTAATTTCAGGAGAGAAGAATGTTGAGGAGAAAGAAAACAAATCTAAATCATCAAAATTCAAACTGCCTTCATTTCGTTGGTCTCCAAAGAAAGAAGCTATTGTTCCATCTCAGGTTGAGAAACATCTGGAAGAACCGCCTTTGTCTACTTTATCTGGAGACACAGACTCTGAATTAATTTTTCGTACTCCTGAGAATCAATACGTTCATGTAGAACTTGACACATCTATAGAAAAAGATGATGAAAAGATCAGAAACAAGAAGTCCCAATTTACCATGCCAAAGATCTCATTCCCTAAAATTAAGGGTCAGAAAGTCCAAGTCTCTCTGCCTGTACTGGAAACCGATATTTGTGGTCCCAAACAAGAAAAAGAAGGTGTTTCAGTACAGAAATCTGAGAAAGAGATTAGTGGGGAAGGGGCTGGAATGAGCATAAAAATGCCAAAAGTTACGGTCCCAACTTTGGAATTTTCCAAACCAGAAGTCAAAGCTCCCGAAATAGACATGGATATTAGCAGGCCTACAGGTGAAGTCATACTTAGTATGTGTGAAGAAGATGATCTAAAATTGAAATCAGCTGCTGCTAACGCCAGCCTCTCCACAAGTGAAATTGCTGTGAGTGATGTAGAAATAAAAGCTGAAGGTCCTGAAGGGAAAACAAAAATGTCTAAATTCCAAATGCCGAAGTTAGGAATTACACTTTCTAAAGGGAAAGGGCCAGAAAAGGAGGTCAGCCAATCCAAATCAGAAGTCAAGGTTCCCCAGCTAAAAGCAACAGTAGAAATATCTGACATTGTTGTTGAAGGACCAAACTTGGAGGTGGAATATGGCACAGGAACAGAGACTTACAGCCCTCAAGTCAAAATGACCAAAACTGACAGTAAGGCATCAGAGGCTGATGTTCACCTCCCTTCAGCTGACATTTCTATTCCAAAACCAGACAGTGATATTCAAGATTCAGATGCAGCACTAAAAATCAAAGGGGAAATAAAGCCAGATGGAGATGGAGAAGAGAAAGAAGGACATTTCAAAATGCCAAAATTCAAACTTCCATCCTTCAGTTGGTCACCAAAGAAGGAAACAAGTGTTAAACCTGATTCTGGAGCAAATCTGGAAGACCAAAAGCTTGCTGTAATGTCAAGCAGAATAGATACAGAAGTGAGAGGAACTGGAATGGATGATGAAGGTAGTGGGACAGCCCTTGATCTGGAATTATCTACAGGAAAAGTTGAACAAAAAAGTCCAATTAAAAAGCCTCAATTTGTCATGCCTAAAATTTCACTGTCCAAGATCAAGGTTCCAAAATCTCAGTCAAAAGTTGAAGTTGATGCTACTCTTCTTAAAACGGAAAGAGAGGGTGATGATTCAATTCAGATACCTGATATAGAAAGAAGTCATTCTGAAAGGACTGAAGAAGGGGCACAAATAAGCATAAAAGTGGCTGATCTTAAGTTCCACACTTTGGAGTTTTCTAAAATAGAAACTGAAGCCTCTCAAAATGAAATGGGAATCCGCTCAGCAAAGACTGATGCTGCTCTGACTCTCTCAGAGGGGAGTTTTCAACAGGTTGACCTAAAGTCAAGTTCTACCGATGAATGTAACATTCAAAACACAGGTATTAAGTTCCCCAAAGGAGAAGCTTCAGTTGAACTGAAGAGCCCTGATATAGTAATAGAAAGATCATCAGTTGTGGATGGAAGAAAAGTGAAATTAGAAGGTCCTGAAGGGAAGATTAAAATGCCCAAATTCCAGAAACCAAAGTTTGGAATCTCCCTAACAAAAGGGAAATGCCCAGAGGCAGAGATCAGCTCTCCAAAAATAGAAGCTGAGCAACCCCAGCTAAAAATTGCTGACATTGCTGTGGGAGTTCCAGCATCAGAACTTATATCTGATATATCAGATCCTGGAGTAGTTGTTTGTAAAATAAAAACACCCCAAGATCTGACTGGTGGCATTGAAGCTCCAAAAGTAGACATAAGCCTCCAGTCAGTGTCTAAACCAAGGACAGAGGGAGCTATTGAGAGTCTTGAGGACAAAGAAATCAAATTAAAAGAAGAACATGAAATAAAAGCTGAAGAAGTTCGGACTGAAGAACATCAGGGATGGTTTAAAATGCCAAAATTCAGAATACCTGCATTTGGCAGGACATCCTTAAAGGAAAAAAAATGTGATGCTGATATTGAAAGTATGGAAAAAGCTCAGGCGAGCATTCCCTCTGCAAAAGTACAAACTGAAACAAGTATTCCTGAAAATACCTTCTCATTACCACATGCAGTTGCTGAAATTACTATTGGAAAAGAAGGGATTAAAAAAACTGAAGATTCTGTGAGGAGTTCTGATGTTAGCTCATCAAAGATGGAAGGAGATATTTCGTTGTCCACAGAAAGAACAGATAGTAGAGTGAATATTCCAAAAACTGAAACTTACGCAGACATAGTTAAGCGTGGTGCTGAAGGACAAAAAGTGCATACTTCAGAATTCACAGTGTCTGCAGCAGAATTGCCTAAATCATACCTAAGTGCTTCAGAAACTGACAAAGACAACAGTTTAACAAATAGGTTTTCTACAGGTACTCTGACTTTTCAGGAGCATAAAGTCAAACCACAGGATATGGAAGTTCCAAAGGTAGAAAGTTCCACTAAGTTAGAGACTTCTGGAGTAGGATGCAAACCGTCATCAGCTGAAATTACTCTGGATGCAACACAGGAGAAAACAGATGTTAGACTTCCAAAGGAAGAGCTTGATATTCAAAATAAAGAGGCAGCAATTAAAAAAGGAAAGATAAAGGGTGAGGTGAAAATTATAGGAAAAGACAGTGAAGAAAGTCAGTTAAAAAGGACTATGTGTGAATGGTCTACAACAAAGGGATCAGAAGATGGTACTTATGTTACTGCTAAGCTGGAAGATCTAAAAGTAGAAGTTCCAGGAGTGAAGACGAATGTTAAAATTACTAGAGTAGATCCTGAAATGAAATTTCAAGTGAAAAGTGTTGAAAAGGATGTGTCTGCAGGAATGGAAGTGCAAGTAGAAGACAGAGCAGAAATAAGTAAAACTAAAGCATACAAGTTTAAGATTCCAAAGTTTGGAATGTTTCATTCGGAAATCAAGGGGTTTGAAGGTGATATCAATGTTACAAAGTCAGAAGCTGATTCAATATCTAAAAGTGAAATAGGCACAGCAGAAATGCAGTTACAGAAACCAGAAGGATCTGTTGGCCTGAAAAGTCCAGCTCTGGATTATATGGAAGCATCTGCCAGAATAACAGGGGAAACAGTGGACCAATCAGAAAGTGGCCCAGAAGTAATTGTAAGAATTCCCAGACTAAAAATACCAAGATTCACTTTTAAAACTCTCCCAATTGAAGCTGATGTTTTAGTGTCAAAAGTGGCAACAGATCCAAAGGGATCTAGTACTGATATTGAAATAGTGCAACTGGAAGCAAGCTCTGCTATCTCTGATGAAACACCAGGGGCTTTAGAGGGGAGTATTCAAAAAGCAAAAAGCAAAATTCTGATGCTGAGTGAACCTGACATTAAAACAGCACAAATGACAACTACCATAGAGTCCTCCCTTTCAAATGCAGGGCAGGACATTCATTGGTCTTACATAGAAGGCCAAGAAGTGAGTGAGAAAGTAGAACCTGAACACGTTGCTATTGAAAGGTGTGAGATTTACACTACTGAAATACTGAAAGAATCAGAGATTCTGTCATCAAAAGTCAAAACTGCTACATTGGGATTCTCATTGCTCAAGGCAAAGTTACCTGAATCACACAGTGACTTAGAAGTGCTAGTCCAGCAGCCATCTCCAACGGAAGGTGGATCAGTGAAAAAATCTACATGTGCTGGGGAAAGCTTTGGAGTAGCAGCACAGAGAACTGGCAGTGCTGAGCTTAAACTATCTGACAAACCACATCATGAGTCTGAAAAATTTAGTGGAGAAATAAGTTTGCCAAAGTTAAAAACATATGCTGCTGAAGCAAAGCCTTCCAGTAAACTTGAAGAGGGTCTTCTTGATAAATCACCAGAGCGAATAACTTCAGGTCCTCTCTCTAAAGATGAGGATGTAGCTGAAGCCATGGAAGGTGAAGAAAAAGACAAAACCAATGAGAAAGAAAAGACTGATAGCAAAAGATCTCCTGGAAGATTCAAGTTTTGGCTTCCAGGGATTGGCTTTTCATCTTCTGGTGATGAAGCAAGCACAGATGTAAAAACAGACGTAAAAAAATCAGATCCAGAAGATATGAAATCTGCTGACACATCAGATGATTTCTCTAAGCAAACTGAAAAAACTGGATGGTTTAGATTTCCCAAGCTTGGTTTCACATCTCCTTCCAAAAAGGCTAAGTCTGTTGAAAAAGAAGAGATGGGTCATAAAGAGGGAAGAATCTCAGATGAAGATAGCCCATCAGATAAACCTGATGTATTTTTTGATGCACAAGAAAGCTTATCACCTAAAGAAACAACAAGGGATGAAAAAGTTGAAATTGATGGAGCCTCATCTATTGTGACATCTTTGGCAAGAACTGAACTAATCTTGTTGGAGGAAGAAAAAGATAGTAAATCTAATATTGATGGAGATATAACCAAATGAAGGTTGTATTTTCTCAGTACTCAATGAAAACAAAATCATCTACATGCACAGAAAAAAATGTGTTTTTTTTTTTAATTTTCTGGTAACTGAAAATTAAAACCCAAAGCTGATGTTAATAAAAAGAGTTTAACAGAATTTACCACATGTAAATTTTCAAGTACATGGATGTACTATATTGTGCACTAATAAAAATAATGATTTCTTCAAATCTGCCCCAAAGGCAAGAATTATGACAAGTACAGAGGAGCCCATAGTTTGATCAAAGTCTGAAAAAATATACCTGAATCATGAAAGTAAACCATTGAAAGGCTCAGTGATAGCAAAAGGCTTTTTAAATAGGCTTCTCAAAACACACAATGTAATTATGTTTGGATAACAGTTTATTTCCGGAATGGGTTATAAACTAGTACTATAAGAGCTATATTTACCTCTTTAGATTTTGGACCTTTCTGACCTACTTTTGCTTTCTTATTAAAATGTTTTTCTTTATTTCAGCTAAAGTAGTATGTATATTCCACGAACATTTTAAAATATAAAATAAAAATTAAATACTAGTGTAGAGAGACTAACGCTTTACCTCTTCCTCTCTTCTGATTTTTTTATTATTGTGGTGGGTCATATTTAGCCTTAAAAGATTTTAAAAATGCCAAAACAAAACCCAACAGAATAATTTCAAGACCAAAAACTTGTAACTAATTCACATTTTTAAGATACCAGAATAAAACATGCTTACAAAGAATAATTATATGAATGTGGATAAATAAATTTTAATGTATATATTTATGGGATAGTTAAATGCTTAGAATGATCTGCCACACTGGTGGAATTGCTTCAAAGATTTTCTGGGAAAGGAGGTGTATATAATTATTTGCTTCTTTGTTTATATCAATGCTTCTCTCGAGGGCACAATGGAAACCAGAGTGCATATGTGACAGCCTTCACATGTACCATTAAAACACTGTCTGTATTATTAAGTCACAATAAACTCACCATATGGATAACTCGACTAGTGTGAGTTACTGACATTTCTGATTCTGAAAATCCCAGCTTAAATTTGCAACAGGTCTTGTTACAGTAGTTTTCTAATCCTCTATTTCCTTTCTCCATGTTCTATTTAGTACAGGGAAAGCAGACACGGCAAAACATTTAGCAACTGGATTTTCAATGAAGTGTACTTGATCTAACCATCTGTAACTTGAGATGCTCTTCATTTCTAGGTTTCTTCATAGAATCATACGATGTTAAGGGTTTGAAGAGACCTCAAAGACTGTCTAGTTCCAATCCCCCTGCCATGGGCAGAAACACATCCCACTAGAGCACATTGCTCAAGGCCTTATCCAGCCTGGCCTTCAATAGTGCCAGGGTTGGGGCACCTGCAACTTCTCTGGGCAACCTGTTCCAGTATTTCACCACCCTCATAGTAAAGAATTTCCTCCTAATATCTAACCTAAATTTCCATCTTTTCAGTTTGTACCCGTTACTCCTTGTCCTACCAGTAGACTATTCCTGATGAAGGGCCCCTCTCAAGCTTCCCTGTAGGCCCCCTTCAGATACTGGAAGGTTGCTATGAGGTCTTTACACAGCCTTCTCCACTCCAGGCTGAACAGCCCCAACTGTCTCAGCCTGTCTTCTTAGAGGAGATGTTCCAGTCCTCTTATCAACTTTGTGGCCCTCCTCTGGACTTACTCCAACAGTTCCATGTCCTTCTTATGCTGGTGGCACCAGAGCTGGATGCAATACTCTGGGCGGTTCTCACAAGAGCAGAGTAGAAGGGGAGAATCACCCCCCTTGACCCGCTGGCCACACTGCTTTTGGTGCAGCCCGGGACATGGTTGGCTTTCTGGGCTGTGAGCGCACAATGCTGGCTCATGGTGAGTTTTTCATCAACCATCAGCCCAAATCTTTCTCCACAGAGCTGCTCTCAATCATTTCTCCACCCAATCCCTAGGTGTGTCTGGGATTGCCATGACCCAGGGCCTTGCACTTCACTTTGTTAAACTTCATAAGGTTTGCATTGGCCCACCTCTCAAGCATATCTTTGAGGTACACTTAAATTTCTGAAGAGAACTGCAGGCAGTTATTTTAGAGAAAACTCCAGTTATGTCTGAAGAGTCTTGTATCATAAGTGTTAAGCATTGTATTATTTATTTGGATCATACAGAATTTCCCTGAAGTTTCCCTGAGTATACACATCATTGTTGAATAGACCCAAAATTACCACATCAGGCAACAACAGCACATACCAGGACTGAGGAAAACATTGCAAAGTAGACAGAAAAATTGAGCCCAGAAAAAGGTGATGTATACAATAAAGGACATGCTATTCTAAAGCAGCTCACATCTGCCTGCAAAGCAACCTTCACATAAGACATTTCTCAGGTAGTGTCCATTTACTTGGGCCCACAAATAGGAATCCATGTGGGCAGCACTGACCATGAGTGTGGCAGCAGGTGACAGAATCAAGTCAATTGAACTCTGAGACAGCAGTGGCTACAGAGCAATAATCTCTGTGATGTTTTCAAAGGATGAATGAAATAGTTAAGGGAAGAGCAGTAGAGAAAGGAAGCAACAACAAACCTTCCTCCATGGAGGCTTCTGTCAGCTTTGGAAAAAGTGGAGGGTAGCAAAACAGGAACCAGGTTAACAAGGTATTACCCAAGGGTCTGACCACAGGAATAGCTAAGAACAGAGCTCAAAAGAGTGCAAGAAGCACAGTAACAAACCTGCAGCACATAGATATCTTTTCTGCAGGCTGATTCTGAACACACCTGCACACCTTGTTTGAGATGCTCAGGTCATTCTTTTAGCTGTGGTAGGTTTCCTTGATTACTGCTACTTATTTTTTAACATCTGAAAAGGTGGGCTGTTCAGTTAAATATCTACGTTCAGTCCCCAGTCAAAAAACCCTGCAGCTGTGATTTGACATGCAAAAGAAGGTATAAATGCATTAAAAAGACAGACACTCTGAGCATGGTGATTTTTTGCATTGTTAAGAGCTGAATATTGGTTGGTTATTGTTTGTTCTTTGAAGCAGGACCTCTCATATATCCCAAAGGCAAGACAGCCAGAATTAATCCTGAACGAGATAATATATATGAAGAAGCATAGAGCAGAATAATCACAGAATGGTTTGGATTGGAAGGGACCTTAAACACCGTCTAGTTCCAATCTCCCTGTGATGGCAGGGACACCTTTTACTAGACCAGATCGCTCAGTGACCCATCCAACCTGGCCTTAAACCCTTCGAGGGATGGGGCAGCCACAGCTTCTCTGGGCAACTTGTTCTAGTGCCTCACCACCCTTACAGTAAAGAATTTTTTCATAATATCTGATCTAAACTATCCTCTTTCAGTTTAAAGCCATTTAGAATAGAATAGAACAGAATAGAATACTTAATTGGAAGGGAACAACAACAATCATTCAGTCCAATTGCCTGACCACTTCAGAGATGACCCAAACATTGTCAAAATGTTAAAGTTGTTAAGGGAATTGTCTAAATGCCTCTTGAACACTGACAGGCTTGAGGCATCAAACACTGCTTGAGACAAGTCTGTTTTGGTGTTTGACAACCGTCTTGGTAAGGAAATGTTTCCTAATGTCAAGTCTGAACCTCCCCTGATGCAGCTTTGAACCATTCCCACACATCCTGTCACTGGATACCAGAGAGAAGGGATCAGCACCTTCCTCTCTACTTCCCCTCCTTGGAAAGCTGCAGAGAGCAGTGGTCTGTGAATCAGTGAGGACTCAGGAGCTGTCTTCTAGGGATTAGGGAGATATTTACAACTGTCAAGAAATTAAGTGTACCTTGATACAGCATAAATGGCAGATGAAGTGTTTTCTCAGTACCTGGATGAAAACAATGAATGTATGTTTTATCTGGAACACTTGGTAAAAGAAAATCCTAGGTAACAGCAGGAAAAAATGAAAGCAGATAATACTAAAGCTTTTGGAACAAGCTGGTGTCTAACATGTGAAGCCAGGTGGCTTTGCAGTCCTGTCAGTACTCATAGCCTGTGGAGCCAGCCAGGTCCTGTCTTGCTGTCATCTGCATTGCTGTCAGCAGTGCTGTAGCCACAAGGCACTGCACCAAACCAAGGGCTCTCAGAAATGAGCCTGCTGGGAGAGCAGTGCGGCAGCTCCACGTGAAAGGCACTCAGATAAAGCAGAGGGCTGTTCACTCACGTTGTAATCATAACACAGGTACATGAGATGAGCTGATCAAAGAAGAGCATCCTTGCTCAAGATCCAAGCCAGCAACTCTTTGTAGACATAAATAAACCAATACTGGGAAAAATCTGAACAGCCTGCAATCAAACTAGAAACTCATAGAATATTCTGAGTCAGAAGGGACCCACGATGTCCAGCTCCTGGTTCTATACATGACATCCTCATGAATCATGCCACATGTCCAGGAGTGTCATCCAAATGCTTCTTGAACTCTATCAGGCTCAGTACCATGACAACTTCCCTGAGGAGCCTTTTCCAATGCCCAACCATCCTCTGGATAAAGAACCTTTTCGCAGTATCTAATCCATTCAAGGATAATAAATAAATGCTAATGAATACCACTGGAGGCCCCAGCTTACGTTTGGTACAGTCCTCAGAAATCACAATCTAAATGAAAGAGATAAGTAACATATGCATGCATAGGGATTAGTATTAACTCTGTTCCATAAATGGAAAAGAAAAGAACTGAAACTCAGCCTGGTTATAATTTACATGATACTCTACTTTTTTAATAGAGAACAAGTAAATAAGAATCAAGTTTTGAAAGGGCCTAAAAAGTCTCACAAGAAACCAGGAAAATAAACTCAAGTTCATCTTAGATCTCATTAATTGTCGTAATTGTAAACCACCCCTTCATATGTAGAGGAAAACCAGCAATGGTTTCAGTAAAGAAAATAAAAGAGTACTCCCATAAATGTCAATTTTTCCTCTATAAGCTGAACCTTAAACCGCATGAGTCTTGTATGGCCATAAGACAATTCTGCTAGCTTGTCCAAAAACTCTGTCCCACTGAACAATTAATCCAGCACTGTCAGATTTGAGCTCACGAGAGGAGGAGAAAGAAGTTTTCCTTTTGGTCCTGCAATATCTACCTACTCCAAAACAGGGAAAACACAGCTTCGAGTGCCATCTAGAGGAGTGCACACCTCTACAGAAAACTGTTCTGTTGGTTAAGGATGTAACTTCTCACAAAGATTTTCAAGCTGACTCTAGTAAGGAAATAGGAAATGAGAACCCTAAAAGCACCTGCATCTTCCTCAATATTTTTGCATGTATGTGAATACTCAAAAAATTTCAGTGATATCTGTAAATGTAACTACATGTCTTAAAAAATTCTGCCTCAGTAACAAGATGTATTGATTTGTAATGATCCAAGGAATCCAAGGTATCTTAGAAGTGTCTGGAAAAGATAGCTAAGGAGCAGCCTGGGAACCAAAAAATAAAAATCTGTTGGGATCGTTTCCAGAAGTCCTTACTTGTGTGGGGATTTGCGTATATTCACAGAGGTATACATCAGTCCACACACAGAGGATCACAAAAGGTCCCTTTGTCATTCTCAGCACAGGGCAGGGATTCAAAAGCACATCCTCTGGAGGATGGAGAGGTTGCACCGTGGTGGGAAAGCCTGTACTCCCCCTACCCAGTGCTGTGTCTGTGGCAAGTGAGGGACCTCCGAGCCAAAATGAAACTGAGTGAGCCCTGCCAGGCCAAGAGTGAAGCCATGCATTGCCACACATATTTGAGGGCTGGAAAGGTCTGCTGCATTTTTAGAGCTCAGAGATGGAGTGACAGGACAGGCTTTTCCCCAGTCCTTCTGTGGAATCCTGCTCTGGGCCTCAGTCTCTCTCCCCTCTGCTGTACATCAGTCCCCAAGCGAAAAGTTCACTTTATGACTCCAATTCCAGTGTCAGGCAGAGGTGCACAGCCCTGCTAAGGCTCATGGAGCCCCAGCCACGTGTCAGTCACACCACTCCACAGCTGGAG